TCCAAGAAAAAAAAAAAAAAAAAAAAAAAAAAGACAAGGGGGGAAAAAGGGATATGGGGATATGGGGAGTAAATGTGATCTATATTCTTGACATTCCTTCTCAGTTATGTAACTTACAAATAGTATTCTTTCCTTTTGATAAAAACAATTAAAGTTCTAATGAAGCCCAGTATTTCTTTTTTCTTTCTTTCTTTTTTTTTTTTAAAGATTTTATTCATTTATTATGTATACAGTCTTCTGCCTGCTTGCCAGCAGAGGGCACCAGATCTCATTCAAGGTGGTTGGGAGCCACCATGTGGTTGCCGGGAATTGAACTCAGGACCTCTGAAAGAACAGTGCTCTTAACCTCTGAGCCATCTCTCTAGCCCCCGAAGCCCAGTATTTCTATTTCTTTTGTTTTCTGTGCTTTTGATACCATTTCCAAGAAATCACCAAGTTCAGTATCCCATGCACTGTTTCCTTTAGAGAGGTGCACAGTGGGGCTCATGCTGTGTTCTGGCTCCCTCCCTTCCCTTGCACATGGTGCAAGCTGTGTTCAACTTCTTTTTTCTGACAGACACTGTCTTTTCCACACTGGATGGCTCTGAATTCTCGCTGAAAACCATTTGGCCACATATGCAAGGGCTGACTTTGATGTCTTCTGTTCTGTCCATCTGTCTGTCTATGGCAGGGCTGAATCTGGGATTAGAGTTGCTCTGTGGAAATTCAGGAAATCTACACCTGTAAATCCTTCAACCTTGATCTCTTTCATGATTGCTTCAGGTCCTCAAAGTCCCTCAGATCCCACATGAACTCTGGAGTGAACAAATCTATTTTTGTAAAACAAAAGTCACTGAGCTTTTGATGGATGTTACACTGAGTCTGAAGGATGGCATCAGTGATCTTTGCATTTAAGTTTTCAGTCCAGTAGCACATGGCACCTTTCCATTTGTGACTTCTTTCATTTCTTTCTTTTTCTTTTTTCACTCTTGTGGTACTGAAGAGTGAATTCAGATTCTCATAATGCTGGTACTCTATTGCTGAGGCATACCACAAGCCCTTATTTCTGTAATTCTTCCAGCGATGTTCTGTAGTTTTCATATACTTGGTTATTTCTAAATATTTTATTCTTTTTGATGCACATAAAATAGAGTTGTGTTCCTAATTCTCTTTTGGGATTGCCCATTGTTAGTCTACAGATACCAAATTGGTTTTTGTGTGTTGCTACGGAAAATGAGTTCTAACAGGTGTGTTTAAGTGCATGTACATACATGTAATCTATAGGATCTCCAACATGGAAAATCACATCATTTGTGAAGAGGTAATTTTGCTGTTTTCTTCTAAAGCCAATGCTTTGTGTTTCTTTTTCACTGGGTAGAACTTCTGATAGACTGTTGACTATAAGTGCAAAGTAGACAGACATCTTTTGTTGTTGTTTTCAAAACAGGGTTTCCCTGTGTAGCCCTGGCTGTCCTGGAACTAGCTCTATAGACCAGAGTGGCCTCGAACTCAAGAGATCTGCCTGCCTCTGCCTTCCAAGTACTGGAATTAAAAGTGTGTGCCATCACTGCCTGGCAAAACCTTTCATCTTGGCATACACACACTGTGAGACTTTCTTATATGGCCTCTTCTCTAGGTAGTTTTCATATAAAGGTATTTAATTTTGCCAAGTACATTTCTGCACCCAGCAGGAAGACCATATGACTTTCCCTTCAACTATCACTGTGATATATTATACTGATTTTTTTTAAAAAATGTTGAACCATCCTCTTTACATCCCAAGAATCAATCCTTCCTAGAATGCATCATTCTTTTAATGTGCCTTTCAATTCAGTTAGCATTTTCTTAAAGGTTTTTTCTTTTTCTTTTTTTCTCAGCTGTAACAAATTTGTAGTTTTCTTTGTGTCCTTGTCTGGTTTGGGCACCAAGAGTAATGCTGACTTCAAAGACTAATTTATCCAGTTTTCCATATTTTGGGGAAAGTTTAAGGGTTGGTATTAGCTCTTCTTTAGTGTTTGGTAGCATTTACCCATGAAGCTTCAGGTCAAGGCCCTGCTTAGTGAGCAGGGTTCAGTGTCTGAGTCAAGCCTTCGTTGGGGTTTCCATTTCTTCACTACTCCCTCTTCAAAGTCTGTTTCGTCTTTTGGTTATAATCCTTTTCATTTCTACCTTATTTGGTATTTCTTATTGTAATATTTTGCATTTTAAGTCATTATAGTTATATAGGTTTATAAACTTTGATGCCTTTTAGAGAACTTTAAGTTTGATTTTTTTTTTTTTTTTTTTTTTTGTGGTGTTTTTAGACTTGCTATATAGCCCAGGCTGGCCTCAAATTTAAAACAAACCTCCTGCCTCAGCCCTCCAAGTACTGGAAACACTGGCATACACACTAAATCCAGCTTCTCTGTTTCATTTGCTTTTATTCTAATATTTATTATTTTGGTCATCTGTTACCTTTGGATTTAGTTTGTTTGTTTTCTAGCTCTCTAAATTGTAAAACTAAGTTGTTCCCTTAGACTCTTTTTTTCCCCCTCTGTCTCTCTCCCTGCATCCCCAAGCAGGCTGGAGTTACAGACTTGGGCCACCACACCTGGGTTTATGTGGTGTTGAGAATCAACCCAGGTCTACTTAATAGCAGGCTAGAAAAACACTGTGTCAACTGAGCTACATTCAAGGCCCTCATAGCTTCTTTTTTTTTTTTTTGTTTGCTTTTATTTTTTTCCAGACAGGGTTTCTCTGTGTAACCCTGGCTGTCCTGGAACTTGCTTTGTAGATCAGGCTGCCTCAAACCCACAGAGATCCACCCACCTGCCTCTGCCTCGAGTGCTGAGACAAAAGGTGTGCACCACCCTTGCCCAAGCTCATCTCCTTCTTAAATATAAGTACTATACTTAAAATTGTTGCTCAACATTCACTCCACCATATAATTTACATTTTTGTTTTTACTTGTCTTCTAGAAGTTCCTCATTTCCTTGTGATTTCCTCTTTCACACATTGATTTGAGTAACACTATTTAATTTCCAGGTATGTTTTCCAAATAGTCTCTGAAGCTGGTTTAATTCTTTCTTTATCAGTGTCCTGTTGTAGATTTCCTAGTCTATCCTACCTTGTACTTTGCTGAGCTCCTTGTCTGTTCATATTCATGTCATCCATCAAACATGGGGCCATTATTTCCTCGAATGCCTCTCCTTTCACCCTTTTGATGATCCCACAATGGCCAGGAGTGGTGGCACACACAATTAGACCCCGCACCTGGGAGGCAGAGGCAGGTGGATCTAAGTGAGTTTGAGGCCAATGTGGTCTACACAGAGAATTCCCACTCAGCCAGGACTACATAGTGAGGCCCTGTCTCAAAAAAAACAGAAAACAAACAAAAGAGCTGATGACCCCTCAAGTGTATATTGGTTTTCTTGGTGTTCCAACAGATCCCCAGGTCTCTGTTTATTTTTCTGTAATATTTTTCATGGTCCCTAGATTTAATTTCAATTGTCATGTCTTTAGCTTCAGTGACTCATTCCTGTTTGCCTTCCAAATCTTTCTAACTTGGCAGGTGTTCTATAGCCACTTCAGCTAGTGAAGATGAGATCAGTAGCAACCAGACACATATCCTTGATATCAGGATAAAATGTTTTATTATCAAAAACAAATGTCTTATTATCTACTGTGGCTCCCAGAAAGTGTAAGCTGCTCTAGCAACATGGACATGGATGCTAGCCATGAGGGGCAAGGGGACAGAAGGCTACTATTCTACCAAGAGCTGAAACCAACTGACATGTCATTCATGCCTTCCCAATGGAAGCTGTAAGCTGGAGCTAAATTCTTCCAAAATAGGCATGCTGACATATCCCAGAAATCCAACTGTTGTCTATAAGGGAGAGGAGAGATGCCCGATTCTTCCTGTTCTTTACTGTGGAGTCACTCTCAGCCAACAGGAGGTTTGAAGATGAACAAAGGAATATGGACACTGTTTTGCACTGAAGAACTGTGTGGTACAACTAGTAAGAAGACAGGAGGCACTCACCACTATTTCCTTGGCTCTCTGGGACTCTGGAGTCACCTTTCCCAGCCTTTCCAAAGAAGGACAGAATCTTGAAAGTACATCTGGGTAAGGAAAACAGAAATGAGAGGGTGTCAAGTGAAATGCTTTCTCTACAAGGAGTGTGAAGAAAAGTACCTTCTGGTACAGCAAGGAAAAGGGAAAACAAGCCAGCGAAACCCGGGTTCCTGAATGCAAAACAGATGAAAAAGACACCAAATGACATACAACCTCTCCCTCCTCGGCAACCAAATAAGGAAACCACATTTAAACTTACAAAAGCATTTTCTCAAACTGGGGTGGGAGATGGCCTAGGATCTGGCAATTCTGCTTACAGAAATGCAGATATGTAAATAGTAATCCATTACAATGCAAAGCAGAAGGGTGAGAAAGACAGCTCTGCAGTTAAGAGCACTGTCTGCACTTCCAGAGAATAGGGTTTGATTCCCAGCACCCACATGGTAGCTCACAACCATCTGCGGTTCCAGGGGATCCGAGGCCCTTTTTTGGTCTTCACAGCACTGTACGAATGTGGTGCACAGACATACATACCGGCAAAACACCATGCACATAAAAAAATAAATAAATAAATCTCAAAAAAACACATTTTTTAAAATTAAAATGTAAAGCAGAAAATGAGAATCCAAAGAATTCAGCTAAACATGACCTCATTAAAATATTTATATTGAGACAGGAGAGATGGCTCAGCAGTTAAGGGCACTGCCTGCTCTTCCAAAGGTCCTGAGTTCAATTCCCAGCAACCACATGGTCTCACAACCATCTGTAATAAGATCCAGTGCTGCTGGGCATTGGTGGCGCACGCCTTTATCCCAGCACTCGGGAGGCAGAGGCAGGCGGATCTATGTGAGTTCGAGTCCAGCCTGGTCTACAAGATCTAGTTCCAGGACAGCCTCCAAAGCCACAGAGAAACCCTGTCTCGAAAAACCACAAAAAAAAAAAAAAAAAAATCCAGTGCCCTCTTCTGGCCTGCAGGCAGAACACTTATACATAATAACAAACAAACAAACAAACAAAAAACCATCATATTGAGAAAGAAAAGAAAAAACAAAATCCTAACTCCAGCTTGAATTAAGTATCTTGAAACATCTGAGAGAACATCTAGAATCAAAAATTCAAAAACCAAGAAACTGAGAAATGGACAAAATTCAGACACCAAGAAGATTTGACTAGACTTCTGAAGAAAACATAGATAAAGCCTATTTGTAGGATTGTTTATGAAAAGTGAAGAATAAATTACAAGACATTCAAGAAAAATAAAAATGACAGATATTTAAGAATGACCAGAAAAAACAACAAACCTGAAAGTAAAAAATGAAATAAAGATGCTAAAGGACCAGAGAGAAAGGTAAGAAAGGAAAGTGGGAAAAAGTACAATATTCATATAATTGCTCTTTCTGAAAACAAAAACCAATAAGCAGAACAAATATTTAAGAGTATGATACAAGAGAACATTTCTAAAACAAAGGACTGGGCTGAATGTGGTGGCATATGCCTTTAACTCCAGCCCTTGGGTAGCAGAGGCAGGTGAATCTCTGATTTGAGGGCAGCCTGGTCTACATAGTGAATTCCAGGATAGCCAGGGCTATGTAGAGATAGTGTCTCCAAAGCAAAGCAAAACAAAACAAAGCAGATGACTGACCTGAAGCAAATATGAAAGTAATACAAAACAGTTAAGAAAAGCTGACTCTTAACTCCAAAACATCCACTAGAGACTCTAGGAGTCTTGGAAGAACACAGAGGGACAGCAAGCAAAATAATCTAGCCTTCAATCAAGTTTTCAAAGTCACAACTCCACCACTGCACATTACAGGCAAGAATGTAAAATGGCACAGCCACAAATTCATACAGTGCTCCTCAACAAAAGATACTATGGTCCACCATGCTCCTCTAAACATATACACAAAGCACTGGGAGCAGAAACCTGAGCAGGTATTGGTTCACTGGTGTGTATAGCAGTATCAGTCACATGGCTGAGAGACACCTGGAGATTATACCAGTAAACTGTGTCCTTCATAACTCCATTCACTGACTTAACAATACATGTGTGAAACCCATCACACCAGTTATTACTGTGGTATGTACAAAGTGACAATGTTTTTCCCCATTTCTTATTCATTAATGAGAACTCTGTAAGAACAGCTGACCCATCATCCTGTTTATTGAATTCAGTTATTTATGTCCAGATGTTCTTATCTCTGAGGTTATGATATAATATTATCACTATGTTTTCTGCTGTTCAAATTATCCCAGCTTTAAACATTGGCTTTGGTTTGCCTCTGCTTTAACTGATAAACATGCTTCAGGTCACACGGTACCACAAGCTTACATCAGAAGAACACCAGACAGCTTTCACTCTTGGGAATCCTAAGATACCGTGTATGAAGTTCCAACCACCCTCTTGGAGAGACCACACAAGAGACAGGTGGCCAGGTACTAGATGCTACACGAACAGGGTGAGACTAGGGGTCTTTGTTGACCATGGTTTTCTAGTGAACCCACTAAAGCACCAACGGTGCTTGAGACTATTATCTTGTATGGTTCAACTTAAGTGACTACAGTCTAGGTGAATAAATGAATGAATAAGACATACAGTTTAACAAACATGAATAAGCACAGAAGAAAACAGTAACTGAAGGGGCTGGATTCTGGACTTTTAAATAGAGTGATTAGAGAGACCTTGGTAAGGTCACAGAGGATCTGAAGGGTGTGAGGGAGTAGAAATCTCAGACAAGAGTCCAGGCAAAGGCTGGCAAGGTCAGGGAACAATGGATGTGGCTGCTGTGGTGTCAGGACAGAGAAGTGAAGATGAAGTCCTAATGTAAGTGTGGAGCAATGAGCCCCAGCGTTGGAGGACACAGGGTTTAACTTAGATTAGGAAGAAAAGCCACTGAGAAGGGATTTTGTAAATGGGTGACATAATTTGATTCATAGTTGAAAAGGTCCTGTGGTTTCCATACAAATTGGAGAATAAGTGAAGGGGTCAAGAGATGGCAATGATCATCCTTGGAAAATGGTGACTCGGACCACAGTGAAAGCAGCAGGGGTTAGAGGTCACTGATTTCGGATTTGGCTGTTGTAGAAACAACGAATCAATGATGACCCTAAGGTTTTGAGTTTGAGCAACCTAAAAAGGAGTTGCCAAGTCTCTGCTCCCTTTTTAAAGAATTACCATAGGGGGTGGAGCATATCTGCAGAAGAGCAGGATCAAATCAGATCAGATCCTTGACAAGGAAATACCCTGGTGTGCAGAAATGAAAGAGCCTTATACAGTATGCAAGTGACAAGAGAACAGAAGACACAATCCCAGCTCAAGGAGTTAAGTGAGCACTGAGGAACTAGAGGATTCCACAGCCCATCAAAGAGAAAGTGAACTAACTGGAAAGAACAAAGGAGCAAGGCAAACTCAGAGAGCCAGCTTATATCATCAGATAGAAGTCACAGCTGTTACACACTGCTCAGCAAGGCCCAGACACAGGAGGAGGGGCACAGGAGGAGAAAGAGAAAGCCAGCTTGCTGAATTCCACATACTTCTCCTTTACCTGCGTTTGATCACAGATGTTGTGACTGGAGAGAAAAAGAAAACAACAACAAAAAATACTTTTTAAACAACTGGGGAAAACTCCATATGGACTGAATATTAACTATCATATTAAAAAGTTATTAATGTTGGGTGTAATATTGAAACTGTATACATTAAAAGTACACATCTTTTAAAATAAAATTGTGTGTGCAGGTGTCACTTGGTGTTAGAGATGCCTATTGAAGTAGGTGCAACTGAAAATTCCTAAAAGCAGAGATAAAAGAAACAAAAGGACTTTGGCTGAACTGTGAGCTTTACATAATTAGCATGGGAGGTTTTGCTAGAGAGATGGAGGCATTTTAAATTATTGTTCTTGCATAAGCTGATCTTTTAAATGAGATTTTAAAGTTGCAGAATCACAGTGTCTCAAAACACAGCAATCCAAATATAAACATAACCCGCCCTCCCCCACCCAAAAAAAGAAAATTCCTGAAAGCTATTCCAGCAGGACAAACAGTGAATGAGGACAGACACAGGCTGGCTCTTTCCTGACAAGCCCCAGGACTGACCAGGCTAAACAAATGCTGAGGTGGAATGCAGGGGAAACGATTGGAAGTGTTTCGAGAAAATTCCATGTAAAAACTGTCACCCTTAGAACAAGATAAGATCTTCCTGGAGGAACCAGGTGGGTTCTGGTCCCCAGTGGGACACCATGAGATACAAGATGTTGAAAGAGAGCAAAGAGAAACCTACTCCTGGTTCAGGATGCAAAAGAGAATGGTACTCACCTGAAGCTGGGCAGTCAGGAGCCCAAAAGTGTTCTCCCCAGCAGGAGGTACTATAGGCAGCCAAAGGTCCCAGGAAGCACAAGAACAAAAAACAAACAAACAAACAACAAAGGCTCAGGAAAGTCTTTGGAAATCATCAAGCACCAACAGGGCTGTGCACCTCTGCTTCCTTAAAGGCATTAGGAATGGAACTGACACAAAGAGGAGGCAAAGAACTGTGGATACTTCCTAGAAAGCAAGCTTCAATGTAATCTAAGAACTCAGCCTTCCCTGGCATGCTGCTGATTGATGGGAGGTGTGAGATAATCCTCTCTGCCAGTAGTAATGAAAGTCAATACTCACTGGACACTTAGAACATTCCATAGACTGTTCCAGGAAGTCTTCATTCTAGCCTTACAACAACTCAAAATAGATGCTACTATCATTTTACACATGAAACTACAGACATAATGAGATCAGGCCCTTGCCAAGGTGACAAAACTATGAAGTGAAGACCAGAGTCTTTAGGGTTGTAAGGATTCTTAGTGTGTTCATTTTGAGATGATTCGTGATTTAGTCACATGGTAGCAAGCACTGAACTGGGCGACAGATCTTTGGAGTTTTATATCTTTTTGGCTGTTTGAAATTTCTCCATAACAAAACATTAAAATGCAATTTAAAGTCCTAGGCTTCTTGTAGTCACTAAGTCTTTGGATGCTTTGAAAAACTTGAGGAATGGGTCCCATTTTGACTGCCTCCTCTTCATGCCGCACTTGGAGTGGGGAACACTAAACCGAGTTCCTAAGAACAGGTCAACATAGCCACCCCAACACTCAGTGAAATCTGGGCTTATTTGGCTAGGGCAGGAGACCTTCACCACATCCTATCAGAGTTGAGGAGTGGTAGGACTCAAAGACCACAAGCTCCCCCAAACACCAAAAACTGCAGAGGCACATAGACCTAACCAGTCCGGTCCCAACACCTAGTAAATATCACACGCCTAAAAGTCTCCTCACACAAGCCTCACCTACATGGATGCTTAGAGCATGAGCGATACCCTCTACCAATACTGCGATTTCCACCAACGCTGAACCTGTCCCCACCCACAAAAAACCCTAACACAGAGGGGCCAAGTCTTGCACCCACATAACACTGAGGTTCATAACTGAGGCTCACACAACTCCCTCAGGAGATGCGTGCTCACACCCCCAAAATAACACTCCCGATCCGGCGGGTCCCCTCAGCTCCCGGATTCCAACACCACTGCCCAGTGCCCAGGCTAGACCCTAGACCATCTCTGTAGGATCTTCCTCTCAGTCAGAACAGGGCCCGCGGGGGAGGAACTCACCAACGCCACCAAAGAACAAGGAGCTGCTCCAGCCACCAGCTGGGGAGAGACACCCCCTCCCCAGCCCCAGCAGGCGCCGGGACTACACCATCCAGAGTCCTCCAGGCACAGGGACCACGCCTCCCAGCATGCCCCACGCCACCCACTACACTTGGACGGCCCGCAGTTCCCTTTGTCCTCTGGTCGGTCAGTTTCTGGGCCGCGTGCTTCGTTTAGCGGGAGTATGGATGCTCCGGCATCTGGGGGCCTCATCCTCCTTCCTAAGGCCACGTTTCTAAAACGTAGTCGCTCTCCTCTCAGCGCCTCTGCCTAAGGAACTACACTCCCCAGTGACCCCTGCGGCGATTTCCGCATCCGATGCCATCCGACCCCCCCAAACACACACACACACAATCCCTTTTACAGAGAAACACGCTCGCAAGGGAAATGGCGCCCCAGAGACGCTTCTTGGTTACTCAGTAGAGCACTTTTTAGGGTTTTCGGGGTCTCTCAGCATCTGCTGTGGGGTTGGTAAAAAGCTCTAAGAGTGAGCTTATTTTACTTTTTTCTTTTCAAACACTTAAGTTGTCCAGGAAGGATCTAGAAGAATCCTAATACAGAAGGGCTTGTGTACCCAGGAATTTTAAATCCTGGGATTCTAAGTCTTTGATATTGAAAAACTTGCCCAGTTTGTTACAGCTTGACTGCCTCTTCCCCAAAGCCCAGGGGAGAAAGTTTTACACTGAGACCCTAATATTGGGCCAACATGACTCCCTCACACACAATACAACCTGGGCTTAGTTGGCTAGACCATCTGGTGGCCGCTCCCCCGTATTCCTCGGGCTGGCTGTGAGCTTGTGGTCCTCCTGCATCAGCCTTGAGTAGTTGTCATTACTGTCCTGCACTACCAGCTCTCTCATTCTGAGCCTTGGACGATTGCAGCACTGTGCAAAGCATAGCAGGCTTTCATTGCGTGATTGCCCATGACTCTGGATTTCATTTAGAAACTATGAAGGCTACAGAGTCTTGCTCAAAAGGACCTGTATAGAAAAGCAATGTTGGAGCACTGGCTGCTCTTACAGATGTCCTCAGTTTAATCCCTAGCACCCATAGGATGACTCACAACCATCTGTAACTCTGGTCCCAAGGGATCTGACTCCTGGTTTGCACAGGCACCAGGCACGAAATTGTTGTACACACATACATGCAAACGAAACACCCATACACTAAAAAATAAATAAATAAAATTTAAAAATAATTTTGTCATCAATTAGTAATCAAGAAAATGCCACGGAGACATGCCCACAGGCCAAATGGATTGAAGAAATTCTTCAGGTGAGGTTCCCTCTTCCCAGGTGTCTTTAAGTTGTGCCAAGTTAATGAAAAAAAAAAAAAAATCCAACAACAACCAGAACATGTTAATGCCACAGATGAAAGGAGAAAGACCACCGACCCAAATCATAATGGCCAAATTAATCAAAGCAAGTTTTTTTTATTCATGTACATTGGCTGTCTCTCCCTAAAAGCAGGATTCAAGACATCAGCATTAGACAAGAAGAAGAAAAAGGCTCAGAAGTGGGTTTCCAAATGGGAGACTTGTCAGGCAAACAGGTGGAGTTACATAAGAAGCAGATCTTAAGCATAACAAGTTGGTTATAACAACTTTCTGAAACAAAGATATATTTTCAAGGTAGTCACAAGAGCAGGTGGTCATAATACCCTTTTGAAACAAAGGTATGGTTGCTATTCCTGGAACAGGCTGAACAGAACCATTTGTAGTTAAGGTTATGGGTGGAGTGCAGCCCAGTCAATGAGAAAGTATTTAATCATAAACAGGAATGAATCTCCTTTTTCTTTACTATATGATGGCTTTCAAGCCCAAAATGGCAGCAGGTTTGATTATCAGATACACTGCTTTAAATCACAACATTTTTGATTATTTTTCTCATAATCCTGATTCTCCAACTAATCCTTATATATCACCTAGTTTGTGAGAGTCAATAAGGGCATTGATAGATACGAACTTTAAATGAATTGGACTTGTTGTCCTTTCCCTATTCCCTCTAAATAACCAGTAGGTTATCCTACCAAAAAAAAAAAAAAAAAAAAAAAAAAAAAAAAAACAAAAAAAAAAAAAAAAAAAAAAAAGTAAAAGTAGCCACCGTGTGATAGGATTCATCTAAAGAATTAAGTTCTGTCGACGGTAGTATACTAATCCCGCCACTTAGGAGGCAGAGACAGGTGGATCTCTGAGTTTGAGTCCAGCCTGGTCTACAAAGTGAGTTTCAGGACAGCCAAGGCTACACAGAGAAACCAAGTCTTGAAAATCAAAAAAAAAAAAAAAGTTAATTTGCAGGGGTTAGAGATGTAGCTCAAATGATAGTGTCCTTGCCTAGCAGATCAGTTCCTTTTCTGTTGCTGTAATAAAATACCATGGCCAACAGCAACTTAAGGAAAAACGAGCCACTTTGGTTTAGGGTTCCAGAGGGATAGAGTCATCATGGTGGGAAAGCAAGGCATGACAGCAGGAGCTGGTTCAATGGTTTAAAATGTTAATGGTGTATGGTTGGTATTACTCTTTTTCTTGGAAATACATCATGAACATTTCAGTTATCAGGATTTTATCTTTTCTGTAAAGCCTTCTAACATAATCGTGTTAAACTACAGAGGTAATCTATATTCTTTTTTTTTTTTTTTTTTTTTTGGTTTTTCGAGACAGGGTTTCTCTTTGGCTTTGGAGGCTGTCCTGGAACTAGCTCTTGTAGACCAGGGGTGTCTCAAACTCACAGAGATTCACCTGCTTCTGCCTCCTGAGTGCTGGGATTAAAGGCATGTGCCACCAATGCCTAGTGCAGTTACCTTTTAATTATAAGTGTGCTTTGTCATATTGATACCTGAGACACACACTTTTAGATTGTATGAGATTTACTCTGGTTTTATGTCTCCTTACTTGATGTATCCAAGTCAACTATGATCACTACACAATATCATCCTTGGAGAGAGGATGGAGTTTGTCCCTGGGGAACTGGTTTTGTCACTATTTGGTTTAATATATACATATATATATATATATATATATATATATATATATATATAGCTTTTAAATGAAACAATGGAATAATTTTTTTTTTTTTGTTTTAAACTTTGATTCCTAAGGAAGTGGAGAATTCCTAGGGATTGGGTATTCATTTCCATGGTTCTGTGCCCATGTTTTTTTTTCCTTAGCATTGAATGCATGCATGAATTTAGTAGGATACAGCTTTTGCTTCATTTGGGGGTGATAGAAACTGAACCCAGTGATTCCTTCCACATGCTAAGCTCATACTTAACTACTTAGCTGTCCCCTCAACCCCCACAGGGTACATTTGAAACATCACTTAACATGCCAATCATGGCATATGTAATTGGTGACTTCATGCAAATGGAACAAACCACTTTTAGATCTCATGCTCCTAGTTGCTGGACAAAAAAATTATTTTAAGATATTTATGGGTTGAGCGGTGGCATTTATTTATATGCAGGTTGTCACTTTCAGTTGTATTTGGATAACTGCCTCTGAAAAGTAAGTTCAAGAGTAAGTCACTTGGTTCTCGAAGGAAGATAAACTCAACTTTTCTTTTTTTTCTTTCACGTGACTTGGTTTGGCTGAATACAAAGTTAGTTGAAGAACTTTCTCCATACATTTTGTAATTCTCCTCCTCATCTCCAATTGTTGCTGTTTGTCATGTGTGTTGTTATTGGGGTACTAAAATTTGGGTTGAGCTGCTGCCCATTAGTTCAAACCCCAAATGATTCTTCTTCAGAAGGATTGGGATGAGTGTAACAGAAGCGAAGAATTACTGTGGCAACCACAATGTACCCAGTAGGGAGTGTTAAATGAAGATTGACAGATTGGCTGTTACGTGCTCATCCCATTATTTCAGGAAAAGCCCCAACGTGGAAGTAAAAAAGGCACTATTTCAGTCACAGCAGTCCTTACTTGTCAAATAGTTAAGCAATGGCACCCCTTTCTGCAATATCTATTAAGAATCAGGAACTTTGAATGACCCCGGAAGCCAGACTTCATGGGATCTAATGGTTGATGAAGATACACAGTGTTAACCCCCAGCTTCAGCGTTCATGTGTACACACACACACACACACACACACACACACACACACACACTCACACACACTCACACACACACTCACACACTCACACACATACACAACACTCACACGCACACTCACTCACACACACTCGCACACACTCACACACACTCACACACACACTCACACACACACACACACACTCACACACACTCACACACACACTCACACACACAAACATACACACACTACACACACTCACACTCACACACACAAACACACACACTCACACACACAAACATACACACACATACACACACTCACACACATACACACACACAAACATACACACACACACACTCACACACTCACACTCACACTCACACGCACACTCACACACACACTCACACACACGCACACGCACACACACTCACACACACTCACACACACAAACACACACACTCACATACACAAACACACACACATACACACACACTCACACACACACAAACATACACACACACACACACACACTCACACATACACATACACACACACTCACACTCACACACACACTCACACTCACACTCACACATGCCTAAAAAGTAAAGTTAAGTCAAGATGATTCATTGTACAGAGGCACTTGCTGCCAAGCATGATGGCTTGAGTTGATCCACTGGACCACGTGGTAGAAGATGAGAAGTGACTCCCACAAGTTGTCCTCTGACCTTCACAAGCCATGACAACATGCACAAATAAGTAATGTAAAACATTGTAGAGACATGGGCATAGTGGACTATAATTAGTAGTTCCATTTCCCTCAAGAAGTCTGCATCAGGGAATCCAGCTTCTTCAAGACTGAACTTCAAGTCGTTTTGTTGTTGTTGTTTTTGTTTTGTTTTGGTTTTTGGTTTTCCGAGACAGGGTTTCTCTGTGGCTTTGGAGGCTGTCCTGGAACTAGCTCTTGTAGACCCGGCTGGTCTCGAACTCACAGAGATCCGCCTGCCTCTGCCTCCTAAAGGCTGGGCTCGAACTAACAGAAATCCGCCTGCCTCTGCCTCCGGAGTGCTGGGATTAAAGGCGTGCGCCACCACCACCCGGCTGAACTTCATGTCTCGATCCCATTGGAATGACCAATGACCATATCACAGAAGTAGGCTAAGACCATCAGAAAACACAAATATTTACATTGCGATTCATAATAGTAGCAAAATTACAGCTATGACGTAACAACAAAAATATCATGG